TTGTCTGCAGACAGGGGCCCCTTTAATGTCTTGTTGTTTGTTGTTGCATGAATTCAAAAGTGTTTCATGTGTACAAGGGTTTGCATTTCCCATTTAACTCTTGTCTTTAGCTCTTCGAAGCCCATTTTTGGTCTTGTGTATGAGACAGAGATATGGCTTTACCCATCCCAGAAAGAGACAGAGACATGGCTTTACTTTATGCAGATAACAGGATGAGAACAGGGCTTTTGCTCTTTAACATTTACTGCAAACACACATGAAGTAAAGCAGACACATTACATACAGCCATCCACATCTCAGATACATACATGGAAGAAAAAAAGTAATCCTGGCAGTCACATGCAAGGGACTAGATTTGAATGATCTCCAGACCACTTACAATCAAATAGCCCGGTTTCCGAGCTCTTGCTAAGCAAAGAGACGTAGCAGAACATAAAAGAACAGAGAGGCAGGGTAAAAGAGCGAAGAAGGGATTAATAAATAATTGGACGCCGCTACAGTCGGCGGTGCAGCATCAAAAGCTCCAATCAGATTGTATGGAGTTACTTACAAACTGTAGCTGTAATGGCGATCCTGCCTGGTTTTTCAGTAACAAGCGTTTCTGAGATTGCAAAAGCAGCTGTAAAGGTAGACAAACTACTACGTTTGTGAATTATTTTCTTTTGAGTTCTTCTCGCTTCAGGGGCGCACAGGTTGCTCTCCCATCCGATGTTTAACCCATCTTCAAGTGTACTCACAGTGCTTTGTGCCTTTTTCAGGGACATCCCTGTGGACTTCAAGTACATCGCTGAGCCCAGTATGCACTCCATGCCAGCTGTGACACTCTCTCCCAACGGTGAGTAGTCAAATCATGGCAAAACACTCACAGACACACAGTCAAGCACACAGTACAGAGGACTCGGGGGACCATAAACCCATATTGCCAGATTGAAGTCGATTCATCCCTTCCAGTGTTGGTCATTGCCCAGAAGGATAAACCAAGGCAGGCTCAGTTCATTGCAGTAAGTTTATGTGTGGGGATGTCCAGAGCCAGACATCGGGATCGGGCCCCTATCCAGCCATGTTTGATGTATAGCTATTGGCTGTAGAAAGACGGATTCATTCCCAATCCTTTGTTTGGTTGTTTGCTCTGGGTATGCCAGCTGTCACAAACAGCCCATTGAGCTCTGTTAAAGCACTATAACGTCTTCTCAATGCTCAGTGTTGTGAGGGATGAACTGTAGAGCGCGCAGCAGCCAGCAGTTTCAATTAATGACATGTCAGCATGTGTCAGCGAGTGATGAGAGAGAGAAAAAAAAAAAAAAAAACCAACAAAACAGTTGTTTGCCTTTATTCTAGTGATATTTCTCTGTTGACGTAAATGTTCGAGCTTGAGATAAAGAGATGCACTCCTCCCTTCATAGATCATATACAAAACTGTAGGAGATTGTATTAAATATTATAGGAAAATGTCAAAAGAAAGCTATAATGCAGACTATATTTTGTTAAAGGAATAGTTGGACATTTTGGATAACAGGCTTCTTGGCTATCTTCCTGAGTTCCATGAGTAGATTGATACTACTCTCATATCCGTACAGTAAATCTGAAAGTACCACCAGCCCCGTGGCATAGCATCAAGGAAGCAGGGAGAAACGGCTAGCTTGGCTCTTTCAAAATAACCTTGCGAGGCAGCTGGGCGCGCAAGATCACATGAGTAAAGAAAGTTAAGACGTCTTGGAGTCTTGTGGTGATCATGAGGTTTTTTGAAAAGCCTGGCACAAACCAGGAGAACAACTAGAACTTCATATTTTGGCATTACAGTTTTGTGATGCTGTGTTAATTAGTGAGCTTCAGAGGTGCTGATAGCTACCCTGTCTACCATTAGACTGATCTAGGCTAGCTATTTCCAGATAGATATGAGAGTGGTATAGCTCTTCTAGTCTTACCCTGGGCAAGAAGGCAAATGAGTGTATTTTCCAACAAATTATTCCTTTTAAATTGCCTTACTAATGTATGTAATTAATACTTGCTGTAGGCACTGTGCAGCAGTACTCTGTGGGAAAAAATACACTTATTTAATACGCAATATTAAAGATTTGCGTTATGCTTAATATAAAAGTGCTTAGATTAGGATTGGGGCAAAGATGTCTGATCGGGACTTCAGTATTCATGAGTATTATGCAGACGTGTAACACAGTGGGAGATGATGGCACTTCAAAAGTAGAATAAAGCTACTAATGGACAGCTACGTTGACGAGTTTCCACAGATATGAGTGGAAGAAGACAGTTGCTGTCACAGTAGCCAGGTTGTGTGAGCAGGACACAGATTAAATAATAGCAGAATTAACAGGTGGTCTTCCTCTTTAAATGCACCTCTTCCGTTTGATTGAGGAATTCCCTGTTGCACTCCATCAGCTTCAACTACCATCAAACGCAGCTCTTCTCTCCTCATCTGCTCCTTCCCTATCTGCCTCCTTTGATTTCTCCCTTTCATGTGCCCTCCCTCGTCTCTTCTTTCCTTTTGGCAGCATTCTTATTTGTCCCAACATGGTTTGTTTCTCTTCAGCGTGTGAATAATGAATGTGTTCTCAGCGGGAGACCATTCAGTTTTCTCTCACGCCTAAATGGCACCGAGCCCCCCTTTGGCAACGCATCCACAGCCTTTCTCCGCTCCCCCTCTCTCTTGCCACCTTAAGGAAAGAGACGGAGCCTGAGTGCGCCGGTGAAATTGGCCACGTTGTTATCATTCTCCCCCACCTACTGCATTTGACATTTGTGGATAACAGTGTCTTTTTCATTTGTTTTGTGAGGGAGGATGTAAGGCGAGGACGCACACATACACCAACGCTAGATCTCCTTCTCATACCACATTAATAATTTCCATCATGTTTCCTTTCAAGAAGTGCAGTGAGTCGTGTAATGCTTTGACACTGAAGCGCTGCCTCTTATCACTGTGTAGTGACTTTGAGGCTGTAGCAGAACCGCTCTGTAAAGTAGATCTCAACTGAGCAGTCACTGATGAAAAACCTCTTTTCATTTTCCCCTAAAATGCCCCAATCAGTCCAGTTTAATGATGGCAGAATGATGAGTTCGTGCTTTTTCAGAGTGTCGTCCACTCAAACTCAAATTGTCCGCATTTTTGTTTTTTGATGGATTTCTGTCCTCGAGGTATATTTCCACCAATTACCCTGTACCTGTTGTTGTTAAAAACATTTGACTCTACTTGGTGTCCCACTAGATCAGAGTGTTACACTGCCATACTAAGAGCAGTGGCAGGCAGCATCATGATGCCACATCCAAGATACTAGTGTCTGCTTGTTAAAAATGTGGCCATACAGAATCATGCTAATGAGGCAAGCTAATAGGCACTTTTAAACTTGTCGTGACAGCCTTTCAAAGCTTAGATGTGTTTGCATATTGAAAGTATAACTGCTAACACAAACTGCTGTCTGCTGTCTGTTTTTACTTCCAATGCCATAATACTTCAATAGAATCTTGGCATGTTGTATCATGTTAGCTTCATGCTGTTTGCTTGTTTCTAACCTTAGGTAAATGGCTAGCATGCCAGTCTATGGATAACCAGATTCTGATCTTTGGAGCCCAAAACCGCTTCAGACTGAACAAGAAGAAAGTCTTCAAAGGCCACATGGTGGCTGGCTATGCCTGCCAAGTGGACTTCTCCCCAGACATGAGGTAAGCCTTTACTTTTTCACAATTTACCGATAAAAGGCGATATTACACAGCAGAGATTTTCTTTTTTTTTTTACTTTGAAAACATGCCAAAGATTTAAACACTGCATTTAATCTCTGAACTCATGTTTGTATGAGAAGAGAGTTTGAACAGAAAACACTTTATTTCACAGTTTAAGACACTGTGAGACAGCACTATGAAGATGCTCAGTATATTAAGATGCTCGACTCCTGTCCTCTAAAATGTCTCCAGCCGATGAAGAGCTGTGGAAAACGTTTTCATATTATCTAACATATAAGCTCTACAAGGAGAGCTAACTAGGACATTCCAACGCTCTAATTTTAGCCAAAAGACCCATTAAGACCCGTTTCTCCCCCCTTCTCACCCACCACCACCACCACCACCCACGTCTATGAGCAGGTGCCCTAAGTTCCTTTCTGTATCCATAGCAACACTGCAACTCCTGGTTGGACTAAAAAAAATAAAAACACCCACCCACCTTTTGGCAGGTGAAGTGGAAACAGAAGTGATTTTTAGCTAACTGCTAATCTTTCCATCTCTCTCTCCCTCTCTTCCTTTCTACCAGCTATGTGGTGTCAGGAGATGCAGATGGAAAGCTGAACATATGGGATTGGAAGACCACCAAGCTTTACCACAGGATCAAGGCTCATGACAAGGTGTGCATAAGCGCCCTGTGGCATCCGCATGAAACCTCCAAGGTCATCACCTGCGGTTGGGATGGACAAATCAAGCTCTGGGACTAGATCTGTCCTCGTGTCTGTGTGTCTGTTTTGGGAGGAGGTTTGGACAGAACTGAACTGGTTCACTGAAGAGAGACGGAACCGGTTGTCCCATGGATTTTGTGAAAAACCTTGAGTGGAAGCCACAGGACTGGTATCCAGTCTTATTGTAGCCGTGTATTTTTGTATCCCATTGTGAGAGCTTATGTATTATCTGTACAAAGACAAGCCTTCTTTTAAAAGTTGTTTCTAACGCAAAGGGCATATTAGAGGGGTACCTTGGTATTTTTTTTAAATAAATGTTTGGTTATTTTAATTTGCAATGTCCTGTGTAGAATACCAATGTAATCCTTGGTAATCATTCTTAATTTTCAATTGTATGACCATCCCTTTGTGGAAATAAACATTCTGTAAATTTTGCCTCCTTAAGAACACAAAGCATTCTTTTGTTGGAAAAGGTGTTTTTATTCAAAACAAAACGATGAAGAGGAATCCCAGACAATTATTTGTTTACTCTATTTATTAAAAGGCATCAAAAGATTTGGCAAATTACATTAACTGGATAATTTTTCAATGTGGATTATTTTTTTAAAAGCTGTCAGCTAGTGTAATGTTTTCAGATTAAGTTTGTTGAAGTTCAGGTGCAGCAGAGATAATTGACTGAGGGCCAATTGAACACCAGAGGAAAACAGAACAAGTGACAGTTATACAAAAATGCTTATTTTGGAGGATCTCATGATGATGTTTTTGATTATAATCCAGGAAAATAAAATTGGAGTTCATATTTTCTTTTAGTCTCTCACACTCAAACACATCTTCATTTAAATACCCAACAAACAGAACGAATCTTCAGACATCACCATTCTGCACATAATTGTTTTGTGTTCTCGATGCAGTCATATCAGGGTTCAACTGCAGGGAAGTGTACCAACTGCCTTCATCTTCTCCGCAGTCGTATTCTGCCGCCTCTGGAGCAGATCCAATTTCTTTACCTTTTATTACCCACATTCCTCTGCACATTCTCTTTATCTTTCTGTGTAAGCAGCTCCGACGGCCTCCTGCAAATATCCACTTACTGTTGAGTAGGGGCAGGGTCTTTCATCTGCCCTTTTAAACATGGTGTATCTATTTCCTTTAATTCATGTTATATTTGAGGCGACGGTGGTCTCTGGGCCTATGCAGACCTGTTGTAATCTGAAAAAGGTTGTCTAATATCTGGCTGTGGGCCAAGCTCAGATAGGCCCACGATGACAGGGGTGACTGTGACTCAGAGGCTGACCTGCAGCCAGCAACACAACCACTATGAGGTAGAACACAGAGAGCCTCTGGAGGCAATTACTCTGCCCCTCTACACGGCTGAGGTCATTACAAGCCAGGAGAGGAAGAGCAGGAGGATAAGTAGGAGCAGGGATTTTAGCTTTGCAAAAAGGTCAGGCCAGATAAGAGCAGGCTGCTGGGGAACAGCTGCGCTTTAGCAAGAATTTGTGCTCACACTCAAACTCCATGTTACACAAACTTGTACATTCAGTCTGGCCCCCCCTCAAGGCTTCCACTCTGTGTTCACCCAGCTCAGGGTGTAAGCACTGCTGGCGTTGAGGACATTCTTATGCAGAAAGAGGTGAGGTTTGGCAGGGTCGCTGTGAACACGAAAGAGGCGGAAGTTGGCACGTTGGAGCTCCTTGAGCAGGCTGAACCAGTACCGTACCACAGATGGGTCGTCGCCACCCACCTCGAAGCCTGCCCAGTGCAGGTGAAGCTCCAACAATAGCTGACCCACTGAGTCCAGAACTCCTTCCAGGACCAAATTCTCCAAAATCTTCCACTCTGCACTCTCCATATCCGCTTTCAGTACATCCACCTAGAACAAGGGGGGAAAAATATCACTTTGAATGTTTTTTTCCTTCTTCGGGTAATAAATGAGTTCTATTACAACACAGGAATGACACTAAACTGTAGAATTACTCAACGCAAAAGCTATTAAAAGATGAAAAGGAGTAACTGAAGCTTGGCCTTTGTTCCTGCTTTAGCGATGTTGATGATGGATTGAGCGAGAGACCAGCCTGACAAGATTTGCTGTGTTGAAGCGGAGAGGAAATGCTTCATAAGATGAATGTTAATAGCACCCTTAGGTCATATTCATGTAAAGAGACTCATGCATGCCGAAAGTTTACTACGCATCCTCAAGACCTTGGGATTCCTACTGAATTGCTAAAGATGTCCACTGTCTGACCTTTATGTGTTTAAGAGTCTTGTTAGCGACGGGGCATGTATTCCCTTTAGGCTCACTAATGTCTCAGTTAGCATTTTCTCAGCAAGTACATCATGTAGCCACTAAATGAGCAGCGATAAGACCTGAGGAGAAAGGACTTATTAGAAATAGGCTCTTTGTAGTGTGAGTACATTATTACATAAAAGATAACATAGGATACTAGCAAAAGGAAATCCATAGACAGAGCCACTGCATTCCGGTATAACTACATTCAGAATTTAGCCTTGAGGGTCTGGTTTGTAGCATTTATTGGCATCTAGTGGTGTAGTTGCAGATCACAACTCCCTCGCTTCACCCTTTCTTTCCAAGCACAAAGGAGAAACTACAGCAGCCAAGAAATGCAGAGAAAACGTAAAAGCCCCTGTGTTTGGTTCGTCCCTTCTGGGCTACTGTAGGAACATGGTGGTTCTAAATGGCGGACACCATGGAAGGTGGCTGTGGATACAAAAGGCTCATTCTAAGGTAACAAAAACATTCCTATATTTATATATTTAGGTGATTATACGCTGATGAAATCATAGTTCTGAATATTATATTCAATTTCTGCCAACAGATCCTCCTCAGTGTTACACACCGGACCTTTAATTGTGGGAAATGTTCAAATTTCATCTGGCGCCAAGCCATGAAAATTAAATTCCTACTGATGCCTTTGGTGACGCTACAGAATTCCCAGCCATCATTAGTGGAACTGAACTAGTCTCAGACACTCAAGAACAGCTATCTGTGGAGAACAAGTCCAAGTGTCCTCTATCCTCCCCACGGGCACCAAACCTCCCACAAGCAGAGATACGTTCCTTAATTGGACAGAAACCTTGTAATTGAAGATGATGCGGCATCATCAAGAGGTGATATATTCACTTGGTCTTTAAGGAGAGTGTGTCTCTGTATGAGTTATTATGTGTTCGTGTGCATGTGTCGAGGTTGGATGGTATTTATTCTGTCTGACTTTTTTTCAGTGGACTTCACACAAATGGCCTTTCTGCGTCAGTGGCCCCTGATCCGATGCTGCCGGTATCAACTCTCTCTGCAGGAGAAGTTGCAAGCCTTGGCAAGACTCCTGTCTGGTGTGAGCGAAGTCCATATGGTGTTGGAGCTTTGGAAAGATGACTTTTGCTACACTGCTGTGCAGCGTTAGCCACACTAAATGGTCCTTAACTATGCTGAAAGGAAATGCGATAGGATGGCAGTCTCCTTGTGGTTGGAAAGTAGAGTAAGCCAGCAGCTACTTAGCTTAGCTTAGCATAAAGACAAATGGAAATGGGGAAACCACTGGTCTGTCCAAAGCTAACAAAACCCGCCTACCAGCAGCAAAATTATTTTTTGAGAGGTTATGTGCTGGACTGTTTCTTGTGCAGGAGCGGTTGCCAGGCAACCAGCAGAGATTCCAGGAAGTTACAGTCCCTAGCTAAGAAGTAGTGAACTTCAGAGGTGCTGGTAAGCGGATTTTGTTACCGTTGGAATGAGCCAGGCTTGCTGTCCGCCCCCCCCTTTCCACTCTTTATGCTAAACAAGCTTACCGTCTCCTGGCTCCAGCTACACAGCTACACATATGACAGTGGCATACATATTCTCAAATAAATTCTCCTTAAGAAAACAAATACCTGAGGGTATTTCCAAAAATGTGGAACTATTTGTTGAAGCAGGTTTCAAGGACAAAAAGAGCACTGGAGGATGTTGATCTCGACACATGACACATGACACATGACACATGGGTGACATACACATTTTTTCTCTAACAACCTCACTCTCCCTTGGACATTGACTTGTCTTTGGTTTAAGCTCATTGTGAATCTTGAACTGTGACAGCACACCCTTTAAACCATTTTGCACGGTTTTAACTTCCAGCATCTTTGTTATGCAGTCCGATATGAAAATTCTGATAAATTCGAAGGCAATCACCGACTAAATTGTACTGCCTGCAATAACAGAGCAGATCAGCCCCATTGCATAGCCTCTGTAGAATAATGTCTTTGCACTCTGCTTCTCACCTCCGCTGCTAAGAAATCAATGTCATGTTACTGCAAATTGTCTTTTTACTCAATGGGCAAATAGTTCTCCTCCCAATGATTCATACTCAAAATACACATGGGACTTTTTTCTGTAAAGCATCCTCAGGATTAGGCAGCACATTGGGACACATTTTAATTTAGAGAGGCTTTTGATGAAAAGTTGAGTCTTTATAAACAAACAAGTTTGCTGCTTTGTGAAAATAACTTGTTAATTGGCCTGAAATGTGTTTATTTCATGGTGGGCAAATCCTAGCTATTAACAACACTTTTGTTTACTCCTTTTGTTCCACGCGATTGATCTTGTCAAAATAATTCTTCAGTTTTCTAAATCTGAAATCAGAGAGCGCAACATCACAGCTTCTCTGACCTTTTATTATTATATGTTTTATGGGCTTTAATTAGTGAGCCTGCCACTGGAGAACAAATAACAATTAAAGATATTTAATTACACATCTGAGAGCTTTGCTGATTTTGTGCTTTTTGGAAGCACTTCAGCAACTGCTTTGACATCAGGGCAAAGCCTCCCTTGGCAGAGACACGCAATAGAAGTCTGTCTTGATAGTCACCTGTGTGTTCAGTGTTATTTTTCCCAGACAGTAAGAGATAAGTGATTACTTCCAGTGCAGCTCACCCTAGCTAAGGGGTCGCATATAGATATTTTCACCACGTTCTTTATTTACAATTGTAAGACTAGATTTATGTTGGGTAACCATAGCAATGTATTAGTGCAGGATTGGGCCCTTCATGCTGGATGAAAAGGTTAGATGGAAGTACTGTATATTGTTCTTGTTTTCTACCCCTTGTAATCAAGCGGTGCCTAAGACTGGTAGTACCACTGGGCAATGTTCATATTGTTGCACTGTCTAATTACCAACATGATCAATGGTCCAATAAGCGGTTTCTTTAAATAAAATATGTGATTTCCTGCTACTGACATTTGTCCCTGTGGTGACAGTGTCTGCTGTCTCAGCTGCTCACCAGAGCTCAGTGAATGAGTCATCTGTGTGGTTTTTATTCAACACAGATAAGAAGTGCTGCAAAAATGCATATTTTGACCTTTCCGAGTGACTCTGTTTCTTCACTGAAACTGTTCTGCTGCTGCTTGCTCCTCCGGCAGACTATGTACTCACATTAAAACCTCATTACAAGAATGCATGCATGGCTTTGCATTTAAAACAGGTGGATACTGTCATCTATGAGTTTGGTGTGCAAACCCACCCCAACACATACACATATTTGTTCATATCATGTCACACACTGAGAAGATATTAATATCCTTCAAAGTCCTTTGTATGAGCCAGTCTGTTTTGCTTTTGGCACCAGAAAAGAAATAATGAACTCAACTCACATTGAGTATGCATTTTACGAAAGATAGATTAATCAGATTTAGATAATTTGTCTGGAGAAATCATAAAGTTAGAAGCACTGCTAGCTGCTGCAATATACCCCATAATTGCGAAGTAAAAAGAAACTGAAAAAGGTTTATCCTCATGGGAGCAGGAATATGTTCAGCACATTTCCTGGCAAACTGTCTTTCACATAAGGAGATTTCTTGAATGTCAAGAAGATACTTTTGGTGTCAGTGGAGACTCTTGGAGCCAAACTATGGAACAAGTTCATCATCTGGGAAGCATGAATGTGTTTGATTTCATGACAGTTCAGAAGACAAAGGGTCTCTAAAAACATTAAGATCCAACCCCTGGGGACAATAAACAACAATGAATTTAAAGTCCTTACATGTAGATTTCTAATGTTGGACATTCCAAGTGGAAGTATTAACGAAGGAAGACAGTAGGGCACACTGATATCCCAGACAACAGCACATAAACTGCACCAATTTTCGCTAAAATTTACTATTTTTTCTATACATAATTTTTATGCATCGGAATATTCTGCAAGATACTCTAATGGAATTCAGCCATTCATTTATCAGACTATGAATGCACTGTAAGTGGAAGCTCTGTAAGTGCCAAGGCTAAGTTTCTCTCTTTTTTGGCATGAGAAGAGAGCCTGACAGTCATTCATCTGGGATTTTATGATCTATGTAAAAGAAGCTTGGCTTCTTTGACCTTGAAATTTCATTCAGCCTTTTCCTAAACAGGCATGTTCACTGAATCTATAACTGTGTTTATTAGTATGCATGCTATAAGTGGGCTTGAGGTGTGTGTATATGATTGATCTTGTATGCAGATCCCTATCTGGTGAGGTGGAATACAATCCCTGGGGGGCTTTGAAGAGGTAACATTCAGCATGATAATATTTAAAGGAGGAAAACAAAATCATATATGGGTTTATCACCTGGAGCCTGAGACAGACAACAGAGGAAGGAATCATGATGAACTGTATTATGTCGAGGCGCACAGGAAGGGATCTGTGTTTGCATTCATGCAGCATATAAGTGACTCTTCTCGCTGCCACAGAAAGGAAAATCACTTTTAAATGGTTCCAGGTGATTTTATAATGGCAGATCCCTCATGAATTTATATTATAACCAGAGACCATGTTGTATACTATCCCACTTACGCTCTTCGTCTTACCTGTCTGTGTCCAAAGTCATTAAGGATGGTGGCCAGTTTCTTGGTGTTGGCGTACTGACGTTGGGCGACAATAGCCGGATTGGGATCCCTCCAGTCTACAGAGAGCCGATGAAGCCACATTTCAGCCTGCTGCAGGTGAGGCTGCTTCAGACTGGGATCAAAGCAGTGGACCTCACATCCTGCCCGTGCAAGAGAAACCTCCAGGGACCGATCATCCACACCCAACCTGCAGCCCATATGGCACAAGACAAACAGAGAATGTCAGAGATAAGGCTAGTACTGACGCCCACTACTCTCTTACAAGATGAAATATGTAAAGAGTGTTGAAAACTGTACCAAAGGCTGGACATATCTTATTTTCTTATTTTCTTTGATCATATAGTCTCCAATTTAAGTCCACATTTTGACTAGTTTAGATTCCAGTTTACTTAGCCAAAGTTCTTATATATTCGCTTGTTAATGTCTCTACCAAATTTCATGCTAATCCATCCAATAGTTTGTGAGGCCTCATAGGGGTTTTAGAGGAAAAGTCAGGGCAAAGTCAAAGTGATTAGAGCTCATCCTCTGGGGATCGTGAATGTCTGTACAAATGGTAATGGCAATCCATCAAGGAGATGTAGGTATATTTCACTGGATGGCGCTACATAAAAAGTCAGTGAACATCAAAGTGAATTAATGTCTTCCTCTGGGCACATGAATAATGAAAGATCTTCACCATATTTTATGACAATCCATCCACTATTTATTGAGAAAATCTGAGTTTGGATCAAAATGGTTGATTGACCGAAAGCGTGACATTGCCATCCACTTAGCCACATCCCTAGATTGCCTCAGAAAAGGGATATTTAGGGAATCTAAGTTTTGGTACTGGTGAGGAAAACTCAAATGTATCACCACATGCATTGACATTTTTTAACACAATACCCAGACCTGGACAGAGAGGGATGGATGCAGCTTTATAACTTCAATACATCTTTACCACATTCAGTCTGAGACATTGCTACAGCTTCTAATAAGATCTGCTGGATTTTACAGTATGGGAGTGGGTCAGATTTCACAGGAAATCTAATAAATGACATGTCAACTCAAAATAAATCCATCCATCTTCCCGTCAGGCTAACACCTGATAGTACCAAGGGCAATTGCTTATAAGTACAAAACAGAACGAGTGCTTCCCGTTTTATTCCAGTGCAAACTGAGCTAAAACTTTAATTCTGACACTTGTCTGCAGAATAAAACGTTTGATCAGAGACCGAAGGATCTTTTTTGTGACTTGAAGTGGTCTGAGAAACATCAGCACAATGGAGGATCACCAATTTCTTATAATAGAATTCCTCACTGAGACAGATATACAGACACACTACATATCAAACACCACATAGTCACTGTGATCCTGACCTGCCCACTTAAAAGCCAAAAAATCAATAACAAAAAACCAAGAGCTGAATAGAAGATTTTTTGCCAGAAGGTACTTTCTCTCTTGTTTCATGTTACTCTTTTGCTCTCTTTTACCTTTACTTCCCCAGTCTTCTGCTTCTCCATTATGAAATATGATGCTTAGCTTAAGTAGAGAGACACATTTCCTTGTATTTGTCTCTTTTTTATGCTTCTCCCTCACATTCCCCCTCCTCCCCTCACTGTTGTTCTCTTCATATCCCACCCCTCCCTTCTCTAATTCTGCAATTTTCTGCTTTTCTTCCTTTCTCAGTCTCTGTCTCTGCATTCCCTTGTGTCTAGTTTGTGCTGCGGCTGTATTCTGTAATTGCAGCAGGGGGAGTACATTTCATAGCACACATCTTTTTTACAGATGAGTCACAGGGTCCCCGAATGCATCCCACTAGGAGGGAGATGAGACATGAGCATATAAGAGAGATTGAGATGCAGCTAGACGTCTCTTTTTACCACACTAAATATCTCAAATATGTCACTGAGGGTTTTCCAGTCTCTGGTGCAGGGCTTCAGCCAGGAATCACTGCAGTGACACTTGGGGTGTTCATTTAGAGGCTCTTCTGAATGAACATGCTGATAAAGGAACTAGCTGTATTATCCTCTCTCATGAGACTACTGAGAGCAGGAGCAGTAACACTCTGTTGACTATATTGTCACGGCAACCAGATGGGAAGACGTGATGGTGTGTGATGGGTCACAAACACCTAGTGGATTGTAAATCTGATAGACAGACCCTTTAGGATGTCTGTCCTCGCTCCGAACTATTATGTCAACAGACTGTCTGGATGTTGTGAAGCTCAGAAGCGAGGCTGGTAAACAAACGCTGGGTGGGAAACTACGTGCTGTCTGCTAGGCTCTTTCCCTTTCAAAATTCCCTTTTCTACCCTTAAACCTTTGCTGCCACATCTTCTCTTATTTTTATTCCCTTTGTTTCAAATGTCAGGTGCTTCAAAACATTTTTCATACCTCTATCCTCACTCTTTCTTTCTACTCTGCACCTATTCCCCTTCCTTCATCACACATTGCAGCAGATTAACATATGCATGATCAATGAGTGATGAGGTCCCAGGTATTTTTAATTCCCTTGCTGTGCTTTAGCCTATATAAGTGCTCTAAATTTGCTGCTGCATAGCCTGCAGTCTGCAAATAAAGTTGTGAGTGAGTGGAGGGAACAAAAGTCTTTCTGCGCTTCTTGGGTAAGTTCAAGATAAGGCTGAATGGTAGTTCAGCGAGAGATGACGTTCATAAAAAAGGTGTGGAGTGTGACTTTGCTAGACTATCGTCTGCCACCATGTTCCTTTGGGGCGAAAAATGAAGCTGTGGTTAGTTGAAGTAATTTAGTTTGCTACTTCAATGATATCTGAGAGCGGAACAAAGGAGAAAGACCCCAATTGGCCCCTATGTACATTTTACTTACGTAAAAGGAAAACCACAGGTGTAATTAATAACATTAATCATGGCTCAGTCACATTCAGTGCCCCGGTAAGCCGTTCCAGTGAGTCAGCATGCATAATAGGCCATTTTCACCTGAGACATTTTGACTTGTCATAGTTGGAAAAGCACTAATGTCACTAATAATATTATCAATGGCTTCGTTCTTTTCAAGTGTCCCAGTAAGACATCAGTCCCCAGTGTGACGGTGAGCCTGAAACTGAAGCAGCTAAATGGAATTCAGCCATCATTAATTTTACTTATACATCTATGCCTTTCTTACTGTGACAAATCAAAATGTCTTTTTAGAACATCCTAAAACATAAATTATGTTTTTATTTTGTGTAAAAAGTTGTGCATACGGTCTACTGCGTAGGGTATTTTTTTTTACACTGTTGCTAATTAGATGAATATTTCTCAAACTTTTTACACTTCCTTAGAAAATATTAGGTTTTCAAAGTACCACCATTATGACCAACATTAAAATACAGTAGTGTAAGCCAACCCTATTATTTGTTTTTGTCTTTTGTTGAATGTGAACAGAACAGAGTTAATTGGGTGGCAATGGGGTACTCCTGGTCCTCCCCTCTCGTAATTGTTGGTAACGTACCATAGTTTGAGAACCAGTGATTTGGATGGGTTTTTTTTTTCTTGCATGTAAGCATGTGTTATTTGCATACGCCTGTAGTGCTGTTTTGAAAGCTACAGGAAATGCAATAGCCTTTGCTTCACATATATAAGCATACACCTACGCTTAACTCAATTACTGAAAGAATGTAATTATAAGAGTGAAGACGATAACATCCTCCCTCACTGAACAGAAGATAGAGAAGGGCTCTTCGGTGAAAGAACAAAGGTGCAGCGACAGGAGCCAGTAGCTATGCTCTGAATATTCCTGTTGCTGTATAGCTGCTCATACTTTTGTTAAAGTGCAGCAAATGAGTGAATTCAATGCCTGTTTTGATTGGTCTGCATGTATGCTGTATTTTTTTATTTTATTGTAATGGATGATTCAACCACTCAGACAATCTTTGATTACAGTAAGCATCTGCACTGTTACTGCACGAGGAGAAAAATACTGTATGATCAAAAAGACGGACTAAGAGACTGAAATCAGTATGAGGGGAGGAAGATGGTGGAGGATGAGAGAGGTAGGTTTGAGTACGAGAGGTGAAAGGTGGATCATTGATCTTTCATGTGGAAAAACATCCTGCAAATCCCTCCACTCCCCCTGTCCACCACCATGTGACAGACCAATCAGAGGACAGCTGCTCATCCTGCCCAGGCACATCCGTCCACGGCTCGTTAAACAGCATGCAAATGAGACATATCAACCGTGCACACACGGACAAAAATATTTGTGTGTGCTTACTGAGTAATGCGCTGAATTCAATAGTGCACACACATACATGCACACACGCACACACATGCACACTTAATAGTATTTGATGTTTCTTTTAAAGTCAGTGTTATGTGCAGTAGTGGATTGTGGTTCATGGTTTTGCAGATTTCCTGTACAGCCAAGCAGAAGTCTCCTGAGAAAGGGATACTCAGCATACCTGGCATGAATTCAAGAGTATGGCCAAGAAATGTATGTCTCTCTCTGTGTGTGTGTGTATGTATGTGTATGTACTTTGAATCTAGGTCAGATAGGGGACACTGAAAGGAGAAGAGGATCACTTGTTGTATCCAGAAAAGTGGAATTTCAGAGACTAGTTTGACTTGATTAACTGTCGTAATGGACTCTCAGGACTTTTCTGTAGTTACTCATGAAATTTCTGTTTTTCAGAATATCATTTTCTAGGTCGACTCACTGTTATTGCATTAACCAGAGTTGAGGGGCGACTTAGCGTAAATTGAATTCATTCCAGAGGTCTTAAGGGATCAGTTAGATAGAAGAAAAAATGGTAATGTAGCTTTTGAAAAATCTGAGCTGTGAGTCACATTTTCCCAAGCTGAATATTCAGGTCAAATGTTAAAATGTTTGCATAAATCACCGGGAGGACACATAATAATATTCCTTTGGTGCATCTCCATGTAGCTTGTCTGCATGAGTGACTTCCCATCAGTCAACCAGAGGATATCAGATATGTTCTCCTCCAATCTCTCCGTTTGACCCCTGATCCCTTCTCCACAGAGAGGCAGGAAGCCAGAAATGGCAGTAACCCCACTCGTCCCCCCTTCCCTCATGCATCAGTATCTGATGCCCGCACACCTGTGCTGTCTCTCAACAGTCAAATTAATAAGATCCCTCTCTCCTGCACGAAAATCCCTCCAGACCTCTGCAGCACCTCAGCACAGCGGAGGCCCAGCAGGGCATAAACCCGGCCAAGCTGATCCACAACACAAAGCCTACTGGGAGTGATTGACTCTCCAATCTTAAGAAGGTCAAATACCTTGGTGGCCTGCATGACTCGATTCAAGATTACTTGCCACTCAAGGAAAGGAAACAGAGGTGGAGTGGATGGGACGTTCCAGGTGGATGCTGGAGGTACAGTTAAGGCAGATGGAGGATTATCTTTACTCTTATTACAGTGTTACTCAACAAATTAAAAAGAAATGTGTCCTGAATACACAAAGAAGAAGAAACCTAGCTACCTGGCACAAAAACGCCAGCTGAATATTTCAACTTTGTTAGAGGGAGACTGAATAAATATAGGCTCTGTGACCAATTAGTCATTGAAATGGAAAGACATAAACAGACAAGGCTAACAGGGGACATGGAGACAGAGATTCTTCTCCTCCTCTATTGTGTAGAAAATAGGCCTTATTCTTTGATAAAATAGTCAGAGAAAAACCTGAATTTTTCCTCTTAGGAAAAAATCGAAATTGTCATGGGTGAAGCGAGCAACAGCAGCAATTATGACTAGATATATCACAGCCTGTCACAGAACTAGATGCTCTGAATAACTGTCTCATCTGCAGATAACTCACTGCCTGTCTGAAAATTAATGTGAACAATCCTGTTGCTCTACAGATGCTGTAGATGACAGCTTGTCTCAAAGCTAGTGTACAGACTGTAGTTTGTGAGTAGATTTGTATTAGAATAAAAGTTAACGCTTTATATGTAGTGATGATGGTAAAGATTTGAGTTAGGGAATTAATGCATTCAGTAGAAGGTGTAAGTGAGTGTTTGTCTGTACGTACCCAAAAGAGTAAACCCTGCAGTGTTTGCTTCGTATTCTGTGGGCCAGGCTGTACTTAGGGTCCAGACACGCAGCCCAGGCACCTTCGACCCCCTGCTGAGCAGCTTGCTCGCCAGTCAATGGTTCACACGACACCTGTACACATAAAAACAGTCACTTCAATTTATGGAGGATATTGAGCCACGTATGAGTCATTTACTGCAAGATTTCTAACTGCAGGCACGAACAGGACAGCAGAGTTTGTATTCTTGAGCTTTAGATTATTAGAATTTCGCTCTGGATATTACTCATTACTTTTTACTCATTTCGTAATTCAAGTTACTAGTTACTGGGGAGTGTCAGGGAGTTTTAACAATCACACCAGCAGTTCCAAGTCAAGATGTAGCTTGGCTGAGACTGTGTGAACTGACCTGATGTGGTGAACATATTTTTCTCAAACTATCAAACAGAAATGCTATAAATCTCTGGAAACGGCTACTGAATTTGACCCTGGCCTAGTGTGTGTTTGGGCCTCAGTTTTGAACTACCATATGCATGCAATTCATCATGATGCACAGCTGGGGCTGATGCATCAGCAGTACTGCCAAGTCTCTAAACAGTGAGAGTGAGAGAACAGGTGAATGCAAGAAAGACTTTTTTTTTTAAAAGGAAAATGTAAAGAAGTAGTCTTTCCTCATGTACTTTATAAGCTGGAAAAAACACATGTTCATTGTCAGGGTTTGTTTCAATTCAGTAACTGAACTCTGGGAGGTCCTGTATATATATACATATGCTGTATATATATCCTTGTGTAAACTTTAAGAAGAAGATAAAACTGGCTAACATTGCTTAAACAGTTCTAATATATATAAATAGTTTACATACATACAGTTAACACGTGGATACATGTCAGCTTGTTGGTTTTGCGCGGTACATGTGCAGTTTAAAAGACTAAGCTTCAGAGCATGAGCTGCAGCTCAAATGTTTGCTGTCTGGTTTCTTTAAGCTCCGTCTGCTGCAGAGATTCAGTTTGCAGAGGAAGGAACAATATTGGCTCAGACATGATGCAAAACATAAATCTGTGGCTCTACTGTACTCCATTCAAGTGTAAACAAGATAGCATGTGTGTGTGAATGTGTGTGTGTTCTTGTATTGTGTATTATCTCGTCCAAAACTTACAGCTCACAGTGTTCGCTCAGGTTACTTGAAATGAAGGAGGAGCAAAATGTTTTGCAGCTATGAGAATGTGAAATAAAAGCAGTGAAGAATGGAGAAATGATGGGTGCTTTCAAAAAGTATTCTGTTGTCAGGCAACAATGAGCACTGTATCCCAGCCTCTTATACAATCACATCTTTTGTTTACTTGACCTTTAAAACTATTCATTATGCATGTTTTCATTCTCAGACCAACAACAGAGTTACCTTTTGAATTGAGTTTGATTTTTTTTTTTTACAGCATCAAAAGAACCTCTTCGGTATGGTTTCCTTGCTGTGGCCTTTCCATTCAATGCCACTTGCAATGTAGTCCAGACGTTCTTCCCCCCAGCAACGCTTTCTAGCTCCTTCTCGGCCAATTCATGTGGGGTGTTTGTCCGGCCCCTTACCTGGGACCAATTTGCACTGGGCAATTCCTACCAGCAGTTTTTGCCCCTGACAACACAGCTCCCAGGGTCACAGGGATGCACTTAACCCTCCACCATGATCTGGTTATTCTCAGAGGGCCATTTGAGTAGACCTCTCGCTCTAATCAGAACAGCCAGTGACAGGTCTGGCAGGAAGGGAGTACAGAGTCACTGGATGAAGTGGAAATAATAGGTTACCTGGTGTGTCTTTCTTACAAAGAGCCCAAGAAGTGTATTGTACATGTGGGTGGCGCAATAATCTATTTAAATAAATCTGGATCACGCTCCGCTGTGCCAGTCATTGTTAATGTGTTCCAGCTGCTAGCATTCATCAGCACACAATGCACAGTGTGCAATGAAATGCAAAATCACTCTTGATTATTTTGCCACTTCACATCTGCAGACTTATTGGTGGCATTGAACTGCTGACTGCTGAACACTAATGTACTGAATACAGAGCTGTAACAATCGACCCTTTCAGGTTACATTTTCATTGTGCATGCATTTTAATTATGGGTATGATTACTTATTGTTGTTAAGGCTAATCAGAAAAAATTATCCTACAGTAAGTTTCATGCTGTTGTACTTTTATAGAAACACTTCCTCTTATGTTTGTGTGTGCTGGTGCATACATGCATGCAAGACACACTGACTGCTACTGATTGGACAGTTGTGTCGCAGGCCATCTCTCTGAGTAACAGCTCCACCAGGCACTGTGTCAGTCAGCATTACAGCTGAGGATGCTGCTACACGCTCTCCAATTCCCTCCACCCTCGCCTGTCACTGTGCATGATGGACAGCTTCCCACAAACTCACACTTACACACACACACACGCTCATACAATCTCTTCCTCTCTGTTCTTGTCCTTGTCTCTTACTTTCACACATACAAATACTCACAAGTGGCTGCACAAACATGTACACACACACACACATCCCGGGGCTAATTCATTATGGGCTGAATGTCTGCTTTGTGAAAGATATTGAACGAGTGCTTAGTCATTTGGAGTGGGGTACTCTGTGTTCTCACTATATTGTGTGAGGGAAAAAGATAAGTTGCTGATTTATTCCAGAGCCAATTTCATTACAATACAAAACACAGCACATGTAATCCAAAAAATGTCCTTGTATCTCTTGGATAGTGAAAATGAAACTGGGTCCTAGCGTTACCTTCACAATGGGGACAAGGTTACAGAATTTCAGGCTTTCTCAAGTCCCTTGATATTCCTCAAATTATGATTCTGAACATCTTAATCGATTTGTAGTAATTTAATACTGACATAAACCAACAAACACACCACAACATCTCATTGATTAAGTATGAATAGAGGAGCTGTGAGTTCCATCTGTATGGTAATCAATAGAGTAATGAATTATGTGTGTGCTGTCGAGCAAGACAAATAATGTCTGGCTGAGCTGAATGTGAACGAGGTGTCAGTGTAGCTCCATCGTGGGCCTGATAGATACAGGCTAGCTCAGATATACATAACAAAGACCTGTCAAAATAATGCACTTTCTGGCCTTCAATAGCGACAACTACTCCAATTATCTATCTGCAAACTACAGTCCTAATGCTACAGTTATGCTTCTGGTTACAGTGTTAAGTTAACTGGATTCATAGTTCTTGTTTATAGACAATATGTTTTGTACCCAGTGAAGAGATGTTCAGATTCTCTTCACATAAAATCAGCAAATTAAACTATGCCAGTAAACCAACAATCCTGTTTTCTGTTTCACACTTTCATGTAACTGTTGCATCTTTATATGTGCTTTAAACCAACTAACCAAATAAAAAAGAGAGTGACGCTCTATATTTTACTATTGTTCTTAATTTTACTAATGCATTCCATGATTATATGGTATTGCGATGTGGCCGTACTTTAAAAATACTCATTAAAAATGCCTAAATTACAATAAGGAAGTATTATTAGCAAAATGTACCAGAAGCATTAAAAGTAACCTTGGGATCTAAGAATTGAATTGCCAATGACTTCTTCACTGTAATTGTTGTGTACACGACAATAAAAGAACTTGAACTTGGTGGAGGTATATAACTGTTTTATATACTGTTATATGCTGGCCTACCTATAGCTGTCAAATAAATAGAGGAGTGCAATATTTTTCATTGAATTATAATGGAGTAGAAATTAAAAAATACAATCCCTTACAAATACATGAAATAAAATAAATAAATCTAGTTTTATACGACCGACCGGAACTTACTTTAAATACCAGTAAGAAGTCAATCAATGATTACTCACTTGTGGTGTTGTGATGTAGTTCAGGAACCTTTTAGCTTCATCCTCCAGAGAATGACTCTCACTGGCCCAGGGTTCCAAGTCTATATGCCACCGAGGAGTCTGCAAAGGAACACACACACACACACACACACACACACACGTAATCATTAAAACTGAAAAAAAGAAAATAACATAAAATCTGACAATTTGCTAACATCAAAGTAGGTCACTCAAAAGAAATCCAGTGCAAGGACAACAACAAAGCGAGCTTTATTCTTTCAGGTATTATAACCCACTTGTGTATAGCCACTGATGGAAATGGAACTAGGTCACCATGTGCTCGGTGGAAGATTTTTTTCCACCTGTGTGTAAGTGACAAATAAACTCCTAAAGTTAATTTCCATTGTTATTTTAGTAAAATGGGGACTGCTATCTATTCCTGTGCATACAAAATCTACTGTAGAAAGTCCAGCTGTGTCTGACAGCAGAAAAATAAAACTTCAGACTTCACCATCAGCTGGCAGCAGCAGCTCAGTGCTGCTGTGTGATCACATTCCTGAAACCTGGCAGAGCTCTGTTTTATAGCCTGCTTCATTTCTAAAGGAATGTGTCTGTTTATGATTAGAGGAAAGGCAAGTGAACGGGAGAGAAAAGAAAAAAAAGAGGGACGGAGCAGCGATGATGCATTTGCTGCTTGCACAATCATTTATTGGGTCAAACACCATGGCCAAGTGTTCATTAGCAGCCCTGGTATAAATTAGCTGGGGTGATTTCACGATAGAGCGCTTCCCTGCTCTGGACTCTCAAGCCTTCATCAGTGTGTTATGTGCGCTGCAGTTTATTTTCAGATTTTCCATGGATATGCACAGATGATTTTTGGCTCAGCTCACAAGATCATGTTTGGGTTTGTAGATGCTGTAGGCACATCTGGTGAACAATCTGTAAAGGGCACTATAGCGACATCAGGTCTGTTTTGGAAAATAACCTTGTTTTGGAATTCACCCCCATGTTTCCGTGCTTCTTTTTCTTCCTCTCTCTTATGCCCTCCAGTTTAACTTTGTAATTGCAGGCTCAACACAATGGGTTTCAGCTCAGACACTTTTACAATCACACTACTGATTTAAACAAAAGAGGTTTTGTGCATTTTGCCGTAAAACTGGAGGTTGTGGCCTTTTCCAGTTCAGATTGCGTGTAGGTCAACTCTCTCATATTTTTACAAGACAGTGGATTGTACACATTCACTCAACCACATACAAATACACACTAACACATACTTAAATACTGTATTATTCAATTTACTAATTCAGTGAACTTAATTAGCATGACAATGGAAAATCAGAGCTCTAAAAACATCATATAAACACCGACATGTAGACGTATAAGCCTTTAAATACATACATATGCACATACCCAGACACTTTTACACAATGTTTATGCACACATCCATCTGCACAACTTGTACAAATACACACATAGATTATCTACTAATGCACAAGCACACACAAACATAACAAACTCATGCATGTGCACATACACTCACAGTGCTCTGCTAACACATTATTGATGATAGCACCATGTGTGTCATTTCCTCCTTCACTGATGCTGATCCTGGACCTGCTAACACAGAGAATCAGCTGTCCCTTTAATGGCTGCAGAGCCATTAGATCCACGTAACACTATTCACTGTTTGGCGTTCAGCCTTTAATCGATTCGCAGTGTGTCAAAACATCTGAATGCTTGCCGTGTCTCAACTCCCTCCCTCCTCTCTCCCCAGCATGTCATCCCTCTGTTTCCCCTCTATTTTCTTTTCTCTCGTTCCTTCTCTGGCTCTAACGTTCTGCATCGCATTTCTCTTTCTGCCACTCTCTCTCTATTCGGCGTCTCAGTCCTCAGTTTAAAATAATTGCATCCGTGATGCATGATCAACGTAATTACCCTGCAGGACAAATAGGGTGATTGATGTGGACATGTGGGTTTCAGTCTATACCCATTGTTTTCTGCAGTTTGATTTTCCTGATTTGCCTCTCACATAAACACACACATATGCACACCCAGACCACTCATTCAACATGTCAGACCCAATAGAAGAGGACTATGTAGATAAAAAATAGTTCATTCTCAGGTAATGGAAACCCGATTCTTATTTCAGGTGATCATACACTAATGAAAACACACCTATGAATATTATATTCCATTTCTGCCAGTAGATCTTCCTAAATGCTACAAAGTGGAGCTTTAATTGACTGCATAGCCACCCAGCAGGGGACTCAATCAAAAAAAATGTAAGTTTATATCATCATCCTTAATGTGCTACAGGACTATACAGATATATCTGTATTTTTTATCAGAAAAAAAAAGAGTTTACTGGATCAGTATTAGATCTGTTATCATTCTTCAGATTTTTACCTCGGGCTACGGGTCCACAGGGGGATTTTGTTGTAATTCCTCCATACATTTTTTATTCAGATCTCATAGCATAAAACTCTCTTGCAAAGGCCAGAGAGAACAGAAAAACAATTCCAGTCAACATTGCTTCAAAAATTCTGTTGTGAGGTCAGGAGAGTTTTATAGCCACAGAAAGACTGCATGTCAGTCTGTTATTTTATGAGTAGACAAATAACATCTAAAACATCTTTCTGATTCCCCCAGACTCTCCAAGAGCTCTCTCTCTCTCACTCTGAATTGCCCTTTTCATCTCCTTACTGAGTCTTCCGTGCAAAACTTAGCTATTAGGCCCTATACAGCCTGATACAGGTTGGGACAGGACTACTGATCAGAGGGCAGATATCTGGGACAATGGACTCACTCGATGGTTGTAGCATATGAGGTGGGGTTAAATACAGGAAAAAAAATGTGGAGAAGGAAAGAACAGAGGGAGGGACAAATTTGTCAGTGGAGGAGGTGTGCATCCAAGGTTTAAGACTTCACAGGAAACCAGCATTGCCCAGGACTTTTCACACTGACTTGTACAACTCAAGTTTCCAATCCATGTTTGTTTTCCTCGCAGGCTGCAATTTTTCTCTTCTTGTGAAGTTATTTAGTTAAAAATAAATCCAACCTTTATCTAACAACATGATTTTTACTGCACATACTGAGATCCAAAATAGAGATTGTTTGTCTATGCGTGTATAATACATAACTATGAGCCCTTACTAACTGCTGAATCATCACAGAGTGGTGATGAGATTAGTGTTAAGCCCTGTGTTCAGTCAAGCAACAACAAGTCATCAGCACCTCGGGGACAGCAGAGGTAAGCAGTGTTAATAACAAACACACAGATCATCACTCACAACTGTCGAGCCTCAGCTGTTTAGACCTTAATCCCATGACATTAGAAACGACATCCTCGGCATCGGCATTTCAGGTAGTTGCCTTGATATAAATGGAACGATGGACCTTCTGTGTTTTTTAATGCCACATTAGTTTCTCCTATGCTTGGAACGGAACAGTGAGTAGAGGGTGTTGCACTACACACTAGATGCCACTAAATCCTCCACTCTGGTCCTTTAAGTGTGAATGCCGAGTGAAGTGAAAGTCAGTGGAAATTAAAGTGCCGAAAAGTGAGTCTCAGCTCAACTTAAAGCAATTAGGCAACACTATTCAAAGAAAATGCATGTGTACCCCTTGCTGAAAATGTGTAGTTTTGAGTTGTCAATTTAGATGTGAGCACCAAGTGAAGGTTCAATTAATACCTTCAAGCACTGAAAGAAGTTGAAATGTCAGTAAATTATGAATTGATCTTAATTTAGTTGATTCAAGTTAAATAAAATTAGTCAGTTAAAGTGTATAAACTGAAATGTGTTGGTGCAATGACACTGGGAAGAAAATGTATGTGTGCTTGCTTCTGAAAAATTGCAATTGAAACATCTGAAATAGTTGAAAGAGTAAAACAAGTTGAAGTAAAAGTTCAGCTAGAAGTGTTGGAAGAAGTTGAACACAGTTGAAGTGAAAGTAGTGAAAGGAGTTGAAGATTCAGTTGAAATGTAGGTGATCAGTTGAGCTGGAGGAGTCCATGAAAGTGGCAGTCCTGAAAGAAAACAGTGCCAGTTCAAGTGTATGAACTGAAGTGTTGGCTGTGTTGAAGTGGAGGTTGTGGTAGTTTTTTGGGGGGTTAAAATGTGACAATCTGAAAGACGTCAAAGTATCATTTGAAGTGTGTGATCACTGTAAGCAGTCAAACTCTCAGATAAAGAAAAAGAGATGATTAATTTAATTCATCTGGAGACAAAGTTAATAGAACAAATTTTCTCTCAGGGGTAAAAATTTAACTGAATTGGATTATATTAGTCTTTTATCATGATACATTCCTGCCTGTACTTATCACTTTATTTCTTAGGGATATAAAAGGGATGTTTTTTCAACATCCACGTCTATTTTTTGATCGCTCTGTTATAGGGCCTTTCTGCATGGCCTGCATGTCTTGATGGGGCTGGGTGTGTTAGTGGATCTGTGCCTCTCAGCTTGGTGTGAGAGAGGTGTGAGCAGCCAGGCCAAGCATGAATAATCCCTCGGGGAGAAGAGGATGGATGGGTGAACAAGAGATGACTGGATTAAACAAGAGAGGACTGTCTGCCAGAACAATGAAGGCAGATAAGAAGAAGGAAAGTGGGAGGGGGATTTGGACTTAAAATGGGACAAATACATAGGAAAATGGACCTGAAGGAAGAGTTACACACCAAGACTAAACAAACTCAATACATAATGATCGATAACAGTGTGGTCAGAGCATCTGAGAGGACATGGCACAATCAGTGCTCGGGTAAACAAATTGCCTCTCGTCTATCAAGTGTCACAGAGGAGCAAGCCACAGGTGAGCTGTGTCTGCCCATTTGAAAACCATAAGGTGACAGAAGGAGTACTGCCAAGTCAGCCCCGTCTGTTGGTAAAGTGCCATGATGGCTGAGTGTCAGACCTGCTGCTCATTTTTTGTGATTGCTCTCACCGGAGTCCAGATGCTTCAGAAAAATACCACCAAGCTGTGCAGTCAAGAGGTCAAGCTTTCAGTTCAACAGCGTGTGGAATATTTCTTTAACAGTATTGCATTGAAGTTAGGAATTGTTCTTTAATAGGCTATATTTTCTTGACGGCCTGGGTAAAAACTAAACAGTACCTCTGTGCCA